GACTCTGGGCCTGTCGGTTTATCTCATCCAAGCACTCTGTCAACAGTGCATGGATTTTCACTGCTACCACAAACACCTTCATAGTAACTCTAGTAACGATCGAATGAAAACTGAGGAGGAGAAGACCATAATGATGACCATGGACCGAAAGACTCACCCAAGGAAGGGAGTACTCCTAGCATGGAAGAGCCTAGGAATGTTCTTGTCGTGCCGTTTGAGGAGCTTCCGGAAGCCAGCCAAATTGACGTCAATGTAGTTCATCAGCTCAGCGAGGTGTTCATGAAAGTTGCAGTAACTCCTCACATACGATTCGACCCATGAGCATGCAGCTTCAGTCCCGAGAGAGCTTACATGATACGACACCTAATAGAGTAGCCCTAGAGAAGGTGGTAACCCGCCCATCATCACTACCAATGCTTGAGCCAACCTCTGGCCATTTTTCTGAGGAGCACATTCAACTTGCCGCTCGGTCAAGAGCAGTCCACCGTGATTAGCCTTCGTTATCCACTGTGATATCTGATGGAAAAACCATAAAATCCCCGCAACGGCCAATGAGAAAGATCACCTCGTGCATGAGAGACAGTTCCAGCTCCTCTATCGCTCCCTTGATGCACTCAATGTCCCGATCCACAACACTAAACATCTCACCATCTTGGAACCGTATTTCCTCTAAAGTCAATAGAACGTCCCTTTGGGGTATGCCATACCTGAGGAGAGTCCCTCCACGAATGACTAAGTCAACAGCGACCTTCCATATACTACCTGGCCCGCTCAGTGTTCACGAAAATGATAAGAGAAGCCAACGACTCGGTGCCCAAGAGCTCCTAATAGGAAGCAATTAACTGATAGTAGAAGAGTCAATGACGACAGTACATTTTGCCGGGCGAAGGTCTTGGCTAGTTTCTCCAGTCCCACCAAGTGATGCTTTATAGTCTTCTGAGAGAGGTACGGCAAACTGCCCTCCTGCATTGCTAGAGCGAGCCTCTTGCTAAAACGCATTTTTGAGGTAGCTGAAGAATTGGCTCTCAAAACTGCCAAAAACCAACACAAGGTCTAGCGTAAAGATACCACTAAGCTCGACTAGGCACGTTATGCTGTTGTTCGCGACATACCACTCCCTGGCCAACTCAAAGGAGACCGTACCAACCCGCGTATCTCAACTACGAAGAAGTGTACTTGAGTCCACTATCGCTACTAGGCAGCCTCGTGGGTGTTGAAAGCCTCTTGTGATACGAAATTGGGCTCTCGAAATATCCAAGACTCCCTACGACCATCTCTTTCCGATTGACCCGACGATCCCAACACTCCCCACCTACGGTGTAGAGCCTCTTCAGCGAGCTACTGTCGACAGATGCCGGCTACTAAAAGCTTTCTTGCAAGTCAACAACAGCGCAACATTCCACCCCACACTCCATAGGACCAACTTGGCCTTGCCGAGAACCAAGAAAGGGCGAGCGCCACTTACTTTTAGCGGAGCGAAGCGATTCATTCGTTGCATTTTCATTTCTTTTCATCACCACAACATATGGAAAACTCTTCCCCTTCCTCATCTCCATCCCGATCGTCCTCGGCGGAGAGCCCAGCCCCTGATACGGCGGTCTCTGAAGAGGTTTCGGTGCCCAATAGCGACCATGCTGAAGGGCTCTTCCCAACTATAACACAACGGTTCGCTGGTACTACCTACCAGTGAAGCGCCTATTAGAATCTCCAGTGGCAGGTTTTGCGGAGACCAACCCTGAGGAGGCTACTGCCTTGGCCCGGATAACGCAGATTATGGTTCGAACGTACGAACTAGGGTAAGGGGTGGACGAGACTGTAGATCGTTTGTAGATACCCTGAGGCCGTCCAGACCGTCTTGGGTATGGCTGACAGGGCCAACTACTTCGCAACCCACTACCTCTCCTGGGTACCCCTTTATGGGAGGAATAGTACTATTGACTCACGTTGCT